TGGGAGGAGGCAGAGAGGCAGATAAAATAAAGGTTGCCGGCAGAGACCGGTCGTTCACCGCCAAGGCGAACGACAGATCGAGGACAAGAGCTGGATCTGCCTCAGTCAGGCAGTTTCGGATTCGAAAAAGAGCAGCCGAAGCACAACGCGCAGCTTTTTGCCAAAATCACAGCTGTGACGACGCTGCTGTAGCCTTCGACCGTGGTTCGTCAGAAACAAAGTCAAAGTTTTGCCGATTTCCAATGAAGTCTGAAAATCGGTTCTCGAGAATGAGAATCGGATCTGGCTGCCTTGTTCGTCTGGCGTTTTGGAACGGGTGGGTGTTCATTCGGTTTTCGACGGCGACGGTGGATTGGTGTCCATCTGATCGACGTAGACGACGACGCTTCGCAACATCAGTCACCGCAGATTCGGCGTCACATCCAGCCAGCTCCTTTCAGAGGCTGAGCCGATGGCCGGCCGACTAACCAGCAGTAACTGAAACAGACGGGGGACGGCGACACTGGCTGCAGATGGTCGACAGTCGGTCGACAGTATCCCGGCTGGCTAAACAATCGATCGCAAGACGTCTGTGCATGGACTGGTCCCCGGACATCTGAGTGTACGACGACGACGACGTTTTCAGAGGGCGCCACCATTGGTGTATTTGTCACGCATGACCATCGCGCGAGCCATGCGCCGTCTGCTTCAAGCGCTGCAGCTGATACGTTCGGCTCTCGCTCACATGTGTATTGCTGTTCCACGGCAGTTTCCTATTTCTCCACTTCTGGGTGAAACTGTTCAGACCAAACGGACTGTTGCTAAAGAACTTTCGCCTTCTACCGTTGTACTCTTCATCATCTAGATGAAGCACTAAAAACTGAGCGTATTTCTGTTTGTTCCTAGAGCGGTTTCCACGCCGAGGCCGACCACGTTTGTTAAGAGCTACAAACCACTTCCGCTTGCGGCGGGAATACTTACAAGACGTATACGTGTTATAATAGTTTTCCAACATTTTCTCCATAAATATGCAATCCGTCGTATGATTTGTCTAAAAATAATAATATACACAAGTATTATGAGTCAACAGAACATAAAAATTATATGACTTTGACACCAAAGCAGCCTCATACTCAAATGCCATACATAGTCGTGCTTAAGTGTCACAAAACACTGGTTATACAGTAGATGAATTATTAGAATGCGTCACTTATTAGAGGTATCATTGGTAGCTGGGCTGGTTATTGCAGATAGGTGTTGTCTGTAGTAGATCAGAATTGACCAAGCAGGCAATCGAGGCCCCGCAACGCCGAATCCTATCCACGTTTGTCCTTTATCATCATATGGCAGAAGACAAACCGTAGATTTGAAAGAAACAGCAACCTACTAGCTGCTCTACCTACAAAGACCTTAAACCAAACATTATTGGCATGTAACACAATGAATAACCGGCGGCGTCGGCCGGAAAACTTCGAGACAAAACCGATGTTCGTACGTGAATGCAGGTATTGCGAGCATCATCCTGTTTATAAACGAAAGAGGCTGAAAAATTATTGATAATCGAAACTTATTTCTATTTTATCATCATTACCAGCAACAGAAAAAGGCAAAGAACCAGATTTGCTAGATTAAATTGACTTGAACATTTAACACAAACATAGCTTAATCCACCGACGACCGGGCTTGCATATGTGCTAATAAAACAGCTGCACGAATATGATATATACAACGAAGCAGTAACCATCTTTGAATATAGAATATGGTTTCGTCCAATAGTGTTTAGAAGGTTGCAGAGTTATTTTAAAATTTGATCACGGAATCCCGTTGTTTCAGGACGTAGGTGACCACTACTCCAAAGCATTTAATTTACTTTACAATTTGTATTGATTTTTAATAAGTTATCAGATTGGCCACAACTAGCTGCAGCCGTTAAGCGCAGGCAGCAAACAACATATCCGCATGCTCCATCGGCGTTACACCAAACCACCTTGCTGTCCGTAGTATTCGCAGACCAACAACCTGCTACATCTTTAGATTGGTTGAGTCAAATATCAATGAGGTGTTATCCTCGCTCAAGGGAATGAACAGTAAACACGGAAAATTAACGCTGCTCACTATGTCTAAACCCGCAAAACATAATTTCCACTAGTGGAAAACCAGTCTAAATATTTTGAATGTAAAATCTTGGAAGAATTAGCTACATGACGCCAACAAAAGCGGGCATTTCACTTAACCATTTATATGAGGGTTTAGGTATGGGTAACTTTCTGTCACTTGGAGTTTAACCTAGCGCATGCTATGGCCTCTTCTTCATACAATATGTCCACCTAATTGCCAAATCAGTTTCATTGCGAACCCTTCTTCGTGCTCTGGTCCATTTGTTCGTCTGATATCAAATCACATATCTTCTTGTTATTCCCAACATAAGTATTTCATGTTGTTTTGCGCAGGCTTATGTTTATGAAAATCTTTCACGCATAGGACATCACTTCGCGTGCCTAACTGAACGAAAGACGCACTGATCGAAGGTGTTCCGTTTCTTACGTTATAATTGAACATTACACAAAGGGAAAAAGGGAAAATCTTCATTTTAGCTAAGGTGCTGCATGTTGGTACACCTTCGCTGTATCATGCATCTGCAATATGGCAACAGTTTGTGAGGTCTTTTACATTCTTCTCAGTGATTCTTCAGGTCCAGAACATTTTCGACAAAAAACAAGAACATTTGTTGTTGGTCCACAGGTCCGTAGGTCTATCGTAAACTTGTGATTTTCCAACACCGGCGTTTTGGAAACCTCCTTTGAAGTAGCTTTCAATAACTTTGATATTATGACATAAATTTCCATTCGATATCGTTTTCGAATTCAAAAACGTGTTTGTGCTTTGTGAAGATTGAAATCCTTTCATTCTTATAAAAAACGTTCATAAGGTCTGCATACTAAACAATACGACCAATAAAGAGGGTCGGTTGGCGGGCGGCCTACTCCATCTAGAACGTCCTCCTGGGCAACATGAGGGAGGAAACCTGCGCCACTATCTTCAATTCTACCCTCATATTGGCAATGATACATGGTTCTGAGTCATGGTCACGTACCATAGCCGAAGTGCATGAACTCTCTGTCACCGAGAGAGCCACGAAAAAGAATGTTGTTAATTTTAACTCGTCATCACATCTCTAATCAGACAACGCATAAGAGTGAAGGATTGTTGTCGAAAGCAGA